GTGTAGGGATAGTAGGTATAGGGATAGTAGGTATAGGGATAGTAGGTGTAGGGATAGTAGGTGTAGGGATAGTAGGTGTAGTAGTGTAGGGGTAGTCGCTTATGGAAGGCGGATTGAGGAATTACGGTGCCATATATCTATCTATCTATCTATCATTGCGATCTCGGTTTCATGCATAGACTCGGTCAAATCAGCTCAGTGCGCATGTGTAGTAAATACCTTTGGGAATTCCGACCTCAAAGATCCCATAAGCGTTACAATCGTTAATACAGTAGTAATACCAAGAGCAATCCGCGCAGGAGCAGCATCTTTAGGTATCCAGAATGACAGCCACGACAAAGCCACTATCAGAAGAGTAGGAGCGTAAACTTGTAGTAGCGAGTATTCGACTCGTCTCTTGAACTTGAACGTTGCAGTAAGGTGAACCCATGGACCTTAAAATACGACACACATGCAATCGTGAAATACACTGATATAAARCAGAGTGGACTCCATAAACCCGTGAAATAGATATTATATTAATKCACACCTAATTAGTCTCTAGCTCTACTGTTCAACAAATAGACGTCGATTCGTGAGAGGAGTACATAGGTAATAACCCATACGCCCAATCCTAGTCATTTCATTTTAGACGTTAGACGTACCTGTCCGATACTGGTATATTTCTCGGTGTAATTCCATTCCTAAGAGAGTGAACTCGTTCATTGCGTCGTTCATAATGCTGATTGTATTTTTAATGGCGCCTTCCCAAACATAGTCCACTGATGTCTCTGGAAATGAATCTGAAAGATGGCATGAATGTGATATACTCAAATAAACAAACAATTACGTTGGCACTCGACACTTACAGCTGAGAATGGTGAGATTGCAATTTTGTGTGTCTAGAGGGTAGTCCATTAGATTCATTTCACATCCTGCAGTTAAAGTCAGCCTGGAAGAAGAAAATTCAATCAGTGATTATACWGTACCTTGTAGGTCATTATTATACATACGTTATTGCCCCTACCTCGTACTATATCGCACCAATCCTGACGGCCAGATAGTAACTTTAGTATTGTCTGCCGGTACCATGTGTGTTTTGGCTGTTTTTATGTTCAAAAAGAAAGTATCTGGTATCCATACAAGTTCTTTGTCAGAACCAGACAAGTAAAGCGGATAATCTGATAGATGAGAAAGCCGTTCATCGTTCCATCTTTGATAGAAAAACATGTCCACAGTGAAATCCTTCAAAAAATGAAAAAAATACTCTTTTTATTGATAAGTTTTACACTAAAATATAGTTGCTGGTATTATAGCGAAGTAGTTTTAATGCTATAAAACTATAATTTATTATGATGAATATAATGAGATTACAAGTCAATAAGTTATTAATTTGCACTTGTGTTGATGATAATATTATGAGAATAATGTATATTCATCATTATCATTACTAGATCATTTGAATTCCTACAACATGTACGTTATAWCGCCGCCATATTGGATAATGACGATGGAGCTGCGGTTATTCGTTTCTTATTATTGTTTATTCACCATGAAGGTCATCGATATCTACGCCATCTTACCATGTCTTTCTCGCGAATTTGTCCAAAATTGACAATTGTCATGGAAACGGTGACGTTCACTGGTTGTTTTTGTATAAACGGACGAACTCTCCTGTCATAACGACTCTTGTCAAACAAGGTGTTCATGATCTGTGTTGTTTCTTTATATCTGGCGAAAAAAAAAATATTATAAGAACAAATCATTGCTGTATGAGTCTTTCCCTGAATTACACTTTCGACTACGCCTCGTTATATTGAGCTGTTTTTTCAACCCTATGGATGTTTTGATTTTCTCAACAAACACTTACKCTCGTTTTGATTAATTATCGTAAGACAGATTAGTTATAATCACTGGATCGAGTGGCTTTGAAGGAACAATTAAATATGCTCGCTTTTGATAGAAAACAAAAGCCTCGTCACGAAAGGCCATGAGTTTTAACGTTTGATTTTACATCAATGCATAATATAAGGGTCTTAAAGCAAACTGACAATACTGAAACTCAAATATAGAAGACATGTGTGTCCAAAATTATACATTTGATGTTCGACTGGATAATGTCTTTACTGTTCTTGGTACTTGAAAAGTCACTCTTAAAATGARAATTAGCAATTCTACGCCGTTCTTCAAATATTTTTAATAGCACTTAAAACACTTACTTGGAAGTGCACGTCGCTCTTAAAAGAATAAGACTTATAAATAAGCGAAACCCCAAATCTGACATCCGTTGCCACTAAGTAGCCGTCATTCTCGATATATTTGTTACACGAGCGGAGTAGCAACACAGAAAAATTTTTAATTTTGCTGCTTTCAAACTATGAAGTYAAAGTCGTTCGTAAAGGGTTTTAACAAAACAAAGACACAGGAGTCCCAAACTAAGGACCCATGGCGTTGATGGATAGACACCCTAGGCAAAATAGAAACAGGCGTGATTACATTAGCATATCAAATATCCCATTCGCTCCCATCAATTGAAAACCTTTCCTGAAAGTTAGTGTAGTGTCGATAGTTAAAATAATATCAGTAATAAACAAACGATAAAAGAAAGAAAACGTTTAGAAAATAACAAATAGGAATAGTATTATGGCTTTCATCTGAATCGTCAATAACCCAAACACTATAGTGCTACTCAGTCCTATTCTAATATGTACATAGTCCGTTAATATCCATAACTGCGAGATTGACAATACTTCCTCTGTATGGAATCATACATTTAGGGCTAGATCAGTGTATTGTATAGACAATCAAGCTTTTTGATCTTTAAACTAATCATTGTGAATTGATTTCATTTCATTTCATTTGAAAACTGCATATGTAATTAAGATTTAATTTTAAGTGTAATAATTTCTTCAAGGCTGCAAGTCACATTGTGATAACACTGACGATCGGTTAAAAAAAGAAAAAAACGTTCTCCGTTTACATCATCTGTGGTACGTTTTTGAACTTAGATTATCGAAAAAGGGGTAGAAATTATAGGTTTTCATAATTGGAGCGCTAGAGAATTTAATGGTGACATTGCACTATGAATATAWATGATTGATTTGCGCTTTCCCTTAATTGTGTAAATCATCATAAATAGTGATTTTTTGGACAGAGTAATATTTGATGAAAAAATGAAATCTATAATGAAGGGTTTTTCTWCTCGATTTTAATGATCAGAAAATCACTGTTCTGTTGCTTGGCAAACTCCTTTTGGTTTTTAACTATTTCAAGGCATAGAATACTGGTCCTGTTTGCCTTAACTGAATGAATCTTGAGAAATACACCGTAACTGTATTTCGCTAATATTAAGTTTATATGGTGCCACTGGGAAAAACAACGAAACTAATGAGTAATTTCCATGATATTATATGTGTTGGAAAACCTAGTAGTGAAGTTTCAAGAATCTCGAGTTTCATACAATGAGAGCTTGTAAGAATGAAGACAGAGAGGTATAYGTTTATAGGCTACTCACGGATCGCATATCGCCATAGCACTCAAAACACCAAWKACACATATCCATAGTGACCCCTTCATCTCTGGYCCGTTATCTGTGCCTGAAAGAACAAAATGTCAGTCGTGAGGGTTATATATATGGCAGTGATGATGTCATAGGTAGACAGATTTCCCAACCAGAAACTGATTTGATCAAGGATTACGTATGCGCAGGTCAGGACACTATGGAAATATTCCCCGCGGTCGATCATTATGTCTTTCGTTTGGTATTATCAACATTGTATGTAAGCCAATTGACATTTTTACACAGATGTCTACCCAACAAACCGCAGGCCACAAGTATTATTTTCACAAAATTGATTTTTATGCATAAATTACTCTGTAAAAACAAACTGCATAGCAGCCCTATTTAGATCYTTGCGGAACACCATCAGAACTGATCATTAGCAACTAACGTACGGTTACCTGAGAAATCTCCATGTCAACTGCCGTCACCGRGTAATAGCTGTATACTTTAACTAACACTCACAAAGTTTTAAAACGTTTTTTTTTTTCTGTCTAACAATTCTGAGACGAGAGCAAATAGGCAAAAAACCTAGCGACCTCATGCCTTGTTTTAATAAACMATAAGAAATTGTCACCTTCAAGGAACAATGATGCTGTCACTGCTTTTGATTAAAAGATTGGCTCCTCGCAATCATTAAATATTAAAAACTCTGACAAAAAACATGTATCCTTTGGTCATGATTGCAAGTCTTATAGAAAACCTACTTAGAAAATATCGTTTAAATATATTAAAATGGAATCAGTAGAAACACAAACACACTTGACAGAAAACTTTYATTTGAAGACAGGTGTACAGAATAGCTTTTCATTTATCATTATTATGCTAACTGCAAAGCTGGTTTAGTCGAAATTCACTTACCTATAAATAGGATTTTCTGRATGCTGAACTAGTCAACTTAACAAGACATGCAACCTGACAAACAAATAAACGCAACGCAGTGTTTTTAACAAATCGTTTTCGCCATGGAGATTAATATTYAGATGGATATTGATTTATAATTTAAACCCCATCGGTGAACACAGGCTTTTTGGGTAAACTGTATGAATTAGAAATACTTAATTTATGTACTAAAAATAGAATTTTTTTATCGATTTGCTAATAACAAGACTTTCTTGAACTACCTAATAATGATATATCCGTTGTTATAATCTCAAAGTATATTTGACCATTATATTTCTCTTGGCTCATTCCGACTAAAACTTAATTCTGACTCGAGRCATAGCCGAGCAGGGCAAAATAATAGACCTAATCATTGCGATAATATGTTTTGTAATAGTTAAGAAAGAACTTCACACCCACCAAGAATTCCAGCTGCGTACGTGATAGGGTAGCTTCTTTAAACTCACCACATCTTAAAATCAGTTATAACTTTTGATCTTTCAAAACCACTGTTTGAAAGAAACCATTTGTGGCTYGAAATGCTACTTGAGAAATACTGTAAGGAAAATTTGATGGTCAAAAAGAACAGCTCTGATATGTTTACCACAGCTTTACTATGACTTCATTTTACTCAAATAAACAAWTGAATAAACCAAGAGATAAGAGACTGATGTACAGCAGCCATCTTAAAAAAAACCTGACAAACGCGGCATCACATGTGGTAGCTAAAACATGTTTTGCGGAAAACCCGCTTAAGATGATTGTCCATTCTTGAAAGAAAATCCAAGTTAAAGTAGTATCTCTTGTTGAAGTTCAGATTTGGCCATTGCTCTTTATATATTTCGTAATGTACAGCTCATATGAATTATTGATTCTATATATATTATGGCAAAAGAGACTTGTCTTAGACAGTGATCTCATGTCTTGTAGAAACAAAAAGTCTGTCTTGTGCTATACACTGGTATAGCTATATATAAGTGTGCCTCGCCTAAAAAGATATCTATGTATGCATGTTCTTTGCCTTCGTTGCTCTAAAACCTTTCTGAATCTAGATGATTAATCTACGATCTTTTGTAGAGATTTACAATATTGGTCAATAAGTAATTAATTGCGGATCAACAATCATAAATCGACAACAAATGAATGTTACGAAAACGTTAACTTGAAAAAAGGTATTTTTCATCGCAATTTGTACTTTATATCCGTCAAGATACAATGAAATCAGATTTAAAACTGCTTCGGCTTTGTTGATATTTTGCTTATTGACCTTATTATGTCTGAAATTTTGTSTGAATATTGGACTCCATAACTTCATAACAAAAACCTTAATTCAAAAGCATCGAAACGATTTTTTAACTGACTATATGTGTTGAGTTATATTGTATAAGACAAAGGTAGCTTTTACTAAACATTGTGCAAGTTAATTTCTTAACGCCATAATGGTAACTTTAACCTTTAATTTTCAATTTTGATGATTTTTGTTAACCTAACCTCGCAGGCGTGTTATTCAGTCATAAAGGTTTAATGTGATGTATGATTTTTCTTGCCTTTTTTTCAAGAAAGGAGCGAAAATAATTTTCTAATTTCTTGGTAATTTGCAAACATCGGCGACTGAGGCTTACAGTAACCTTAACGAACTTACCTTTTCAAAGGAAACGAAGAGTGAGCATGACTACTTAAGTTAAACCATAAGGTTAACTGTCAGGGTTTGAAGTAATGCACAATTCATCTATTAAACAAAACATGTCATMTTTTCACGTTTGATATCTGCCGACCAGTAKGAGGTTTGTTTGTGGAAATCGGTACCTTTTTACGCYCTCAACTTGTGGCGACTGAATGAAAGCACATACTTCTGTGTATATCTTTTTGTGGGATTAGCAGTTGATTTGTATCCATCCAACAAAAACTAAGGTATCAAGCACTTACTAATTAACTTAAGATGTTATCAGAAAATAMGTTTTGTCTGCAAGAATCGGCTCCTCTCTGATTGAATAAGCTTGTGTATGTTACACGAGCTAACTCAATGAATGCAGCTTTTCTACATTTTATCAGCAATTCATCTGAATGTAAGCATCTTGAGTGTTTTTAGACAGTCATTTCAAGTGTTTAACTAGTGGAAACCCATCATTTATAAACTTGAGATTCCTTTGTCTGAAGGCAGTTTCAGGTCCTCTTCACTCATAGTTTATTTTTCGCCATTGAAAATACAAAGCTTTTATGAGCATGATTAACAGGATAACAAATTTCACTTCATAGCTATCTTAAAAAACATTTCCATGGCAACTGTGGTTKAATAAATATCTCAATAAATATCTATCGAGGTGTTTCATTGAAGTCACCATCATAGAGATCGATAATCAKAGTACTGAGTGACTTACTAAACAATCTAGTCAAGTCCAAGTAAAAGGCGATGGTTTTTATTGTTCATTTTTACATGTGATATTTATTGTAGTATTTTACCTTTGTGTTATCTTGATTGAGGTCAAAATCTACTTAGTGAAAATTACTACGATAATTATAATAAGTACGAGAATCTCCTTAGCACTGTGATTGGTAGATTATTCTAGACGTTTATGACAGGAACTGTGTCCTCTCATGTCCTCTAGTTCAGTTGGATTTCTATGCCATTATGCTATTTTTAGAAAAACACTCGATTGAAAATGTACACTGGGATTGTATCTCGTTCATCAATATTCCGATGAGGTAGACCGATGTTATACTGAGGTTTTCAACTAAATTTCTCGTTTTAATTTAAATACTAATAAATTATGTTGAAACTCATTGTCAGTTTTCCTTGATATAATTCAGTTCGACTAGAGGACTATCATTACCATACTGACAGGAAAATTAACTCAATTTCACRATGAACATGATCAGAAGTAACTATAATTTATAAAATATTTACTTCTGACAAATATACGTGTAGATCTAGATTTCCAGTAATTTTTTTCTTTTCTAAACAAAATACTGCTTCTTTGGACTCKAGATGGTTCTAATTGAGAAAATATCAAATTCAAATTGTGTTTTCGTCAAATACTATAGCTTACCTCGAGTAGAGAAACCGTCTTCACTTAGTGACAATATATTGAATATGGAAACCTAGTCTGATGTCTACTTGTCAACGTGCTATATGCCCTGCTATATGGTTCGTGCAGTTCGTAAAAGGCACTGCAATCAGGTTTCTTATCAACCAATTAACCTAGTTTAGGATTTACATGATACACGGGATACATCACCTGTAACATATTTGATTTCTTTGTCTTTTGCACTATCATCATCAGTATTAATATATAGAGGATATTACATGGGCGCGCGGAGATACGGATTTTATCTTCGAGTGTTGAAAAGATCTCTAACGAGTGAGCGTAGTGAACGAGTGAGAGATTTTCAACACGAGAAGATAAAATTCGTATCTCCAAGCGACCATGTAATATTCTATTTATCATATAATTGTATATGAAAGCAAATTATGTCGTAAAATACCTTTTTTTACTTGAGCTATATAGAGARACCGCGAATGTGCTATTTTCACTAGTGAAAATATCAACTTTACGAAATGGAGAAATATAGGTATTTCATAGATAATTATATGATAAAATTAATTTTGCTATTATTCAGTATCAAAAATCCCAAATAGTTCTATTACCTATTAGTATTACCATACTAGTGGACTATTGCAAGTCACTACATTCTGATTGCATGGCTACGCTACTCGAGGTCTATTTTCAATAGTCCTCGACTAGCGAAAAGCGACAACTTGAACTTTTTGCGTATTTTAGCAATAAAAACATTTAGTTATTTATATATTTCATTAATTTTTCGTCCAACTTGTATGGTAATACTGAAACAATTAGATCTCTCGCCCTCGTGGACTACGAGCTGATAGCCCATTCGGACTTCGGTCCATGAGCTATCGGCTCGTAGTCCACTCGCCCTCGAGATATAATTGTTAAATAGAAAGCCAGCTGTATTAGATTCGATGCTTTTAGGAACCGGCTCATTTGTAAAACTCAATTAAAAGCACAAAAGCCAGTCCCGATGGAGAAAGTGCTGAGAACACCCGTAACAAAAGATRATTTGTAAATACTGGCACTTTTTCAAATAGGATTAGTATTTGGGTATTTAAATAATCCTGGCAACAATGAAATGGGTGAAAAATCGTTCAAATATGTATTTTCCGAAAATACCAGAAAATATTGATCTGCGAATCACCGCGTATAGCCGAGCCCCATCTAATGGAATATCATTSTAAAAGCCATTTGATTGCAGCACTAGTCTGTTAATTGTATGTATTGGTTGACATCTGATGAAAAGTAGGCTCGACTACGTGCAAACATAAATCAAAATATTATGATAGAGATTCTTATCAGTAGCAGGTTATAGAGAATTGCTAAGTCTGTGGCTAGCCAAACGATGATTTAATTTATACATAGAAATTTAAACATAATAAACTAATTCCAAAACATATACTGCTTTTCTCTTTCTCGAGAGAAACAACTATMAGTATTTTTTAATATTATTGATTGATTCTCGGCTCATGATTTCATTGGTTTTTGGCTGTGAATATCATAAAATATTACATTGAAATATTTTTCTATTATTGTTGTCATTAAGGTGAATTGGTAGGTGACCTGATTTTTTTAAGGTTCAGAACAAGTCTCGATAATATTCCTTTATGGTGTGGCACCATGTGTACTTGAAATAGCACTACAGGTGTAATGAATTTACAGAACGCTTGATACGAATTACCTGAAGTACTTTTCAGGTAATCTAAAGGCTTCCTCTGAAAAAGCAGCCTTATATTTTGTCAGATATATAAGAAAAAAAGAGCTCTTGGTAGCTTAGAGAAAAAAGCGAATGTATTGCTGTGTGTCAAAAATGACACGAAAAATATTTAGTAATAAAATCTAACTGGATGCCAAGGTGATTATGYAGCAAAGATCTCGAGACGAATTTCTTCTACATAGAAATTTCTTCCACTTACAGGTCTGTAGCCCAATACAGCTGAAACATTAACACATTATTTTTATACTTACAGAGTATGCTTTCTCGGRATAAACTGCAACACAATTCAATCCATATAAGTTCAAAGAAAAGGCACACGACGTAGAACCACTAAATCGGCTATTGGTTTTACTCTTCACACTTGCCTCAGTCAAATATTTGTGACATTTTCAATATTAGTTTGGAGTTGACCAATAACGACCCGTTTGCACTGCTGTGTTTTAGCTTTGAGACTGACTTGCATCTTATTAGCATTGTGGTTGCGTGGTTCTAATCAATTATGTAATGTCAATCCGTTCCGAGTTAGTTAAATGAAGGAATATTTTGGGGGTAGATTTAAATATCAGGTTAATATGTYCTGACARGCTATATTCATATGGGTCCAGCAATTGTACGTCGACTGTGTGAGTTYTTTAGTGAATTTAACACACAAATACATGATGCAAATTTGAGGTCATTTTCACAGGCTTTGTATGGTTTAGTTTCTTACTCRAGAAATAATGAAACTAATCACAATAATTATCCAGATTAATGCCGTTAAACCAGGAATAATGCAATTCCAACAAACATTTTGAATAAGGTGAAAATKTACAAAGATAAATTGTAACAAATTGATATTTGTGAGCTTTCGTATGAAGTAAGAGGCCTGTTAAAACATGCTTTACTACTTACCAAGTTAACACCTTGTAATTGTCTGTTCTTCCTCGTGTGTGACAAATTTTGAGTTTGGTGTCTGTGGTCTGAGTTTTGCAAGTCAGACTGATAATTAACATTGTGATTACGTGCTTCTAGCTTCCCGCTATTTATGGCTCCGCGGATCCACAGCTTGAGCCACGATCAATATTAACTGTTATGGCATGCGGTTTCTTTGATCACGTGATCTCATAGAGATCCAATCATTGATCTTAATTATCAGTATCATTCTGTAGTTGTAGTCTGCAGTCCTAAAATAAGTTTTCGGTTATTGATTTTGTATAGCTAATAGACCTCGCGTTTCTATGTATGCCATCCAATTACAACCACCTGGAAATCAGAGGGTTTTTTTGTTTTTCTTTGAAAAGCATACATTTCCTCAGATTTGAAATTGGGTCACAAACAGAACCTACATTTTTTCGTTTTACAGTTTCGTCGAAATGGCTATGATTTGGGTTAGATGTATACAATGTACTATCAGTTCTGGCAGCTTCTTTGATAATCAAGATTGTTTTGAAAAACCTAATCTTTTTTCCTTCAGGTTCAAAGAATTAAGAGATAAGATCCATATTCATGCGTGTGTGGTGTTTTTTCGTCGATATCACTTTTTGGAATTCTTAACATAATGCTATTTACTTTACCAATGGAGCTCGATTTCCTTATGGTTTTGAAAATATGATTTTCACAAAAAACGTTAGTAAATACAGTCTGTAGAAATACTCTACAATATATTTAAGTATTTGTAAGGAATCCTTTTCTTCGTGTATATAACTTATGTTGTTATTCTTATTGTTGTTTTTGCCTCTCAACCAGTTTTATTCTAAGTTTTTAATAACCTTGATGATGATATCTTTTACATATATGTGCAGTAAAGTCGAATATAAATAGCAAACATCCAAATATGACATGATAAAAGTTCAAGATATATTTACATTGAGAATTTCACATTCTCATTATTGTGAAAAGGTGCAAGCGAGTAATAGATCCAGTAAGCCGCGCCAAATAAGATATAGCCAACTGGGAATAGTATTCTGGACACTTTGTCAATCGAATCTGCGTTCTGCTCAACAAAGACAAATCGTACAAATTGACCCGCTTTTTTGAATTTACGCGGTCTACTTTTTCGCTTCCTTGGACGAGTATCATGATTTGTGATATTACTATTTGCATTAGCTTCTCCCACGTTAGTAATCGTAGATTGTGATGGCTCATCCTCAACTATTTCATCGTTGTTCTGCAACAAGAAAACTGATTTAATTTGGCAAGCTCATCTCCAGTCTCTCCCTACCTTGTCACACATTTTACTCTCTTCACGTGACATCAACTTACATTACATTTAACATCCAAGAAACGTGCACCATATTTAAATTACCACCATAACTAATCTATACACACTTGAATCATGCCTCATTAGGATACATCAATGATTATCATCATCATTGTAATCACTATCATCATTGCCACTAGTGTTGTCAATCATATTATCTGTTTTGTAAGTCTTATCGTTTTAAATACCTTTTCTTACAACCATTTTTAGAAGCAGGAGTGTACAATACTTACATGATTTGCGTTCATAATGTTCAATGAAATGACGTTGTTATCATAGCCATCTTCTTGTTTCTCTTTTTCTTTCTTTCTTTCAGTTTGTTTTTCCAACATGGAGCTGTGTAGAATCACTGCGATATACTCCAACACAGCACCAAACACAAACATGAACGAGACAATGAAAAACAGATCAATAGCTTTGATGTACGAAACCTGTCAATCAAAAGTAAGTTCTTTAGTGGGTTACCTGTGTACTACATAAGGACAAATACTGTATATACCATATATATAAAAAACATAGCCGCAAGAGTGGATATTTATGATACGTCGCTAGTATATATTCCTGCATATAGTTAATATATGTATGATAAAAAAATAATAGTGCAGTGGCAAACAAATCTTAACGCTGTATCAATTTCTATGATGGTTTTGAGTGTTCACGTGATCGTCAGTATATTATTACCTTTGGTACTTGGGCTCTAAACGAACCCATCAGTGTAACAATTGTCAGTACTGTAGTTATACCGAGGCCGATCCTCGCGGGCACAGCATCTTTCGAGATCCAAAACGATAACCATGACAACGCCACTATCAGAAACGTAGGCGCGTACACTTGAATGAGGGAGTAACCAAGGCGACGCTTGAACGAAAATGACGCTGTTAAATGAGTCCAACGTCCTGAGACAAAAACCATGATAGCAAACTCAGTTCTTTGTTACATATTTTGCTTTGGTAAGAATTTTGTAATTTGGAATACAACCAACAAAGTGTAGCCCTAACCCTGCATCAGGTCGATATCAAACAGTATCAAGCGATATAGTATGAGCACCAAGAAGGGCGTTACCTGAGACGTAGTCATAAAACTCTTTGAATGTTTTGTAGTCAGACAAGTCAAACTCGTTCATGGCATTATTTAGTATAACTATTGCATCTTCGGTTTTACCACTCCATTTATAGTCAAGGTCATGCACTGTAAATGCATCTAGGGAAGAATGATTGAATACGTTACGTTATAGCCAACTACGTAACCAACCAAAGATTTCCAAATAAGTCTATGTGATTTCAACCAATAAATCAAAGCCGTTGTTATGGGTCGACCATCAAACAATGTTTGTTCTAGCAGTAGTGTACAATGCGTTATTATTCATATGTTATGGCGCCTTCAAATCAGACTTACAGCTAAGTATTGTTAAGTTACAAGTCTGTTCGTCCAATGGATAGTCCCGAAGATTCATCTCACAGCCTGCTGTTAGTGTCAGCCTATAGATATATAGAAACAGGCAATCAATCAGTCAGTCAACCAATCAATCAGTCARTCAAGAAAGTAATCAGTCAGTCAAGCTGTACGTCAATCAATCAATCAATAGCCAATACCTTGTACTATAGTTGACATGTCCATTAGGGTTTATCGATATTCTACTATTGTCAGCTGGTATACTGTGAAACTTTGCAGTTTTGATATTCAAAAAGAACGTATCAGGCATCCATATAAGGTGTCTGTATTCGCCTCCAAGGACTATAGGGAACTTCAAGTTGTGTTTTAACCGTTCGTCTTTCCAGTTTTGATAAAAGAATATATCAATGTTGTAATCCTGCAGTTAAAAGATAAGGTATTTTTTCACAATTCAGCTTGAGAACAAACGCAATGAAACACCTGAATTATGCTGATTCACACGTTAAGGGTTTGCATTCTAATTTAATCACAGTTCACATTACGTTTTATAAGAAATAGTTTCTTGTTACCATATCAACTTCGCGTATTTGCCCAAAATGCACCACAGACATCCCAACTGTCACCGTCACTTTATCTTTTTGAAACAGCGGCCGCAATCGTCTGTCATACCGATTTGTGTCAAATAAACGCTTCATTTCTTGTGTTGTAGCATTATATCTAGGATGAATACTACATGCATAAATACATTTCATTGAATGTCGAGTCCTTAATGATCGGAACAGTAGTTTTCTTCTAGTTCTAAAGCAAAAATAAAAAATGATATTCCCATTCTATTGTTCCATTTGAAATGACTTCCAGTGCAAACACAGTTTAATATTAATAATAATAATATTTAATATTTATATTGCGCATGTTCTATGAAATATTCACATGCAAATAACTACAAGAAATATATACATATAATAAATATGATAATAGATATAATTTTACAAAATCTAAAAGATGAACTAAAAATGATACTAGTTAAATGATAATTTGAATAAATGTGTCTTAAGCTGTTTCTTAAAAATGTCAATGGACGCTGCTTTTGCTGCATCCATAGCAGTTTAAGATTATGTATTGAATATTTGTAATATGGTTCCTTTCGATCGTAATTCTCGCCGCAGCCTTTGTAAAAGAGCTATAGATTTTGTAGACATAGCAAATGAACCTATTTACTATTCCTTTATATGTCTAACCACAGGTAGCATATCTATTCCATTATACCTAAGATGATAAGCTAAACAACTGTACCTTCTGCAAAATGTTAAATCTCTCTAGATTATATTCTAATTAAGACACGTTATCTCTCTCTAAAAGGCAATTACTATTGATATGTATGGAGTCAGGTATTAATTGCTTGTTGGTTGCAAAGTTGGCAAACCTCAAATTTTTGACATTTTCGTTTCCATTTTAGCATTACTTATGAAAGAGTTGTTGTGTGCACGTATTGGCATAGTATCAAGTCATCTGCGAAAGAAAAAAAAATATTTAAATGAATGCCATACAAAAGAGGCTTTCAAAACAACCCCAAAACACTTAAGAATCGATAAAACAAGTTAAACACCTGGTAGGAAGAGAATTAAGGAAAAAAGATGTCGAAAAACTATAGCACTTGATAAACAAGAAAGCTACGAACTGTTTAATTCGCTGTTTAAACCATCTTTTTCACTGTAGAGTATATTGCTACTAATTAATTCAATACACATAGAAAAAGTTATGTTCATCCGATTTCTAGAAAAAATAATCGGAAGTTACGAAAGGTACATGTACTTTAAAGTAAGTTGAATATAGAAACCTTCCGTGCATGCGATACTGTTCAAGTCAAGCATGAATATATTCAAAAAGCGTCCAACTGCGTTGTCAAAAATAAGATGAATTGTGCATAGCAAACTTTTCATTTAAAGTTAACATTGCCCTRTACCAGTATAATTCCATGGTAAACCAGCGAGATAAATCAAGATGGCGTGTGAATGTCAGAACTATCTTATTGATAGTACCAGTCAAAATCTCAGGGTTTCTGGACTTTCTGTTAACGAGTAATTTTCATGTTTGAAGGCAAGCACTCTGACTGAGTAAAGAGATGTAGATTGTTTGGAAAGCCCCCAAACAAGATGTCGACATTATGATAAAAGTATATCTAGCGGATAAAAGTATATCTAGGGAAGACAGATCGTGCACCTGGATATGTCATACGAAAACCCTTCATCATGCTATTAATTTTCCTTGGGTTGGGGACCATATTGAAGTCATGAATTAATAATTCTTGACGAAAAACAGGACTTTTTACGACTTTATAGGCCCATATCTTGATAGATGCGAGAAAACGTTAACACAGAGCACAATATGACACAGTGAACGTTAATATCAATAAAAACTTATAACATGGAATACAGTTAAGCTGTTCTTGGTAATAATGCCTTAGACGTTGAATGTATAATCTGTATGTTATATAGATGATGTAATCTTACTTGCTACAAGTGGCTTGTACTCCAGACATCAGAAATAAAACCCACACTACTACAATTCGTTCCATTGTAGAGCATTCTTGTTTAGTGGTGTAATCAATCATTGGGACAATAGTACTTGACTTAGTGAATTCTGCTTTGGCTACCTGTGAAACAAAACCACAAATAAGCTAGAACGGCTTTTGTCTTGGCGAAAAGGAAGCGAATGAAGTCGAATATCATTAACAAAACTCTTCAGTCGTTGTCCGTAATACTGACAATGTGTCAAGTAAGTAGAATGTTTGTATACAATAGTACCTGCTTGCAGTGCTTGACAGTGAGTATGATGGCTTGTACAGTAACTAGAAGTCTATAAACCTTTTCTTGTATCTTGTAATGTGCAGTCAAGAAGATCGTTCTTTTGTATTCGAGTATTGATGGAGCATAAAGCAGTTCGTCCCTGAGTGTTGTAAAGTCTCTAGAGACCATAGTCAGTTGCTGTCAACATTGCACTAAATGTCTAGTTATATAAATAATGATTTACGGTTTTTAGTGATAAAGAATTATTCGCACCAGTAAAATCCCTGTGGGCCTGCTTGGTCAATGGGCTCGAAACATTGATAATTCACTTGATTCCGACTTACCGTATCTGCAAACAGCTAAAAATACAGATGGCGTATCAATGAATCAACCCARAAACCTTGGATTTACTTAAACTCATATATTATTCATCGTCATAATAAAAACAAGGGCATATGTTGAGCCGATATTAAAATATTGTTATTAAAAATGTACACTTAAAGGAGTTCCACACGTCTTCATGGTGATAATAGTAGCTTTTGCAAAATCTAATGTTTACAAATCAGCTTGGACCTCTTTAACTTTGTGTCAGACTGTCACCTTTAAATTTGGTCCCGCGACAAGAGAAAGGTTGACTAGTTTGAAACAACGTTTACGAGGCTCTATTTAAAGTAATCTTTTTCTAAATACAGCACTAAAGTGACTGGGGCTTATCTAAATTGATACATGTAATTAACTAATCTGCTTACTGACGAGTCGTTTTATTATTGGGCAAACATCTTTTTTTCCAATATTTATTATTAGAGAAAGATTTTTATATTTTCACAAACTGAGAGATAAGGACTGAATTGTTTCCAAGTAACGTGGTCATAGAGTTTCTAAAAGATTTTTAACACCAAGGAATTAAGAACAGATTTACAGATAATCTTTTTTTATCAAATCACGATAAGTGACAATTTTGAGAAGATTCATGTGCCAGTAATCAGTGCAAAACGTTTGCATAATTGTCTGCTCTATTTCAAGCACATTATGTTTGAATAACCAACTCTGAAGCATGAGACTTTAAGCCTCGAGCAACAAACCATCATCTGAATATTATATTCATTTATTCAATCGATTAAAGCCCTAAAGCCTTTCAAAAACCGCCAAGTATCACGCCCTTTTATACYTAAGGTGAATACTCCTGCTATCGTTGGTTTTCACAACAAAATTGATGCGATTTTAAGGATTTTTTTCATCTGTATTTCTTTAATATTGTGTAAATAGCATTGATTGAGTAAATGAATTACACAAATAGTAAGGGTTGTTTATCCTGACCTATACAATCTTATTTCTGATACTTATTTGTACAGAATAAGCACTAGTTGATTGACTTTTAATAACACACGAAGCAGTTTATTGAATTGCTGTAGTATATCTATAATCAAAAATCCCATGGGCACAAAACTATAACCGACAGACACACTGGAGGTAAAATTTGTATTAGTTTAGAGACGGTGCTTGAAGTAAAACTACTTAAAAGAGAAACAGTGATTAAGTCTTCGTGTAACAAGATAGATAATACCCTGGAGCGTTGCCGTAGGGAATCCAACCAGTACGATGATATTTAACTTTAAAAGAAGCTAGGTAAAGCTGATGCATTCGAAAACCACAAGTTGAGAATTTGACACAAACGTGCCGACAGGCATTGATAGTCCATGTGGTCGGGAATCGATGAATCGTCACTGATGTGATCAGTTGGTTACTGCAATGGCCCGTTGATTGCTCAATGTAGTGTGTTCAGGCCATTGAAGTTCAATTGATGCAAATACAATGACCGCAAATGTACTGACTCTTTGTTAACCATATGAATATCTGTAAGGTCAGGAGGAGCCGACAGGGTCTGTTCTTCTAAATAACTGTTCTTGTACGATTTTTTTCCTGGGAAAAGGATTTTCAGCTACATCGTTGACAATAACACAAGCAAATTTGGCATCCTTACGTTAAAAAATAATTTTGTTCCTGGCAAACGTTTTTAAGGTCAAAAAAGCCTTATATAACGTTTTTATCGTCAAAAACGGCTTATATATATTTTTTTTCAGTTAGGACATTTTTATTTTCTTGGCAAAAATTCTTAGAAAGTATTCCTTGTCTGGAGAGTTTTATCCCGTGAATTTCTGGCTGGCTAGTTGTGACTTACAGCTGGCTGGGAAATAAGTACAGATATAGTACAGGAACCCGCCCGTCTGCTCCTCCTATAAGGTTGTTGTTCACAGCGATATTTATAAGATGATACCAAGGACATAATCATAGTTACAACGATAAAAAGATAAAGAAACTACTGGAGCTAATCGGCCCCTAGACCATTTTTATTGACCCCTTACACTAAATAGACAACAATCCGAAACATATATGTCCTATTGGGGTTGTCATGTGGTCTATTATCATGTAAATTATTGTGGTGTTAATCTATTGGGCCCAATCTATTAGCCGTTTACCCATGACACAGGACTCCCAATGGCTTTGTACTTCATTTTTTAATACTGTAACAATTTTCGTTTTGTCCTCTTAAAGCCGTTTATTGTAAACTGAATACAATTCCTGAATTTAGAATTCTGATTGATCCCTTTGCAACCCCCTTATGACTGTTACTGCGGTAACCTTCAAACAGTGTAATAACCCATGCCTTTCTATGACGTTTTTCATAGCTTAAATCGGCCTCTTGAGGACGGATAGCCTGCGTGGCGGCTCTAGGGGAAGGGGGAGGGGGAAAACGGAAGGGGAGGGGGTGGGGAGGCGGAGCTAGCCCTAACCCTAACCCCCTCCCCTTCCGTTTTCTCCCTCCCCCCTCCCCTAGAGCCGCCACGCAGGCTAGAGGATGGAGATCTAGATATGTCGACAAGTAAGCGTAGAAAACTTAATAGGCTTATTGTGCATTTGGTGATTTTCTGTAAGTAAACTGAAAAATCTTCGCTTAGTGAATCACAAGCTAGCCTTGCAGCGTTTATATTCAATCCATTCCTTGCTATGATAGGTTGGTATTGGTTCGCAATCAAAAAGATCATACTAASAACTCCAAACATTATAAGCTATGTATGCACATACATTATATTTATTGTCTATTTGATCCTTTGTGGTGAGGATTGTCAGAAGTGCTCAGTGTTTGTTCAGCCAAACCAATGCAAATCAATGTAAACCTTGATTCTTGGAGACTTGCTGCTCATGTGTAGTAAAAATAATAACTAATGTTGAACACCATGAAGGTGAAAGGAAAGAASACTCTCGCTAGCCGATCAAACAGATCCACTTCCTTGTCTTCTGTGTAGAAACATGGCAGCCGCGGTAAATGCAGCTCTTTAAACCAGTCTACGATACGTGATCTTGGGGGAGTTGCTGCGTAAGGACTGTGATTGATTGCTGGGCCAGGTATTAACTGGAAATACACGACAAACGACATTTAGTGTTGCTGCTAAATTAAATGAAAGAATGGAAAATAAATGAAGAAATATATCGTCAATGAATGGGTGGATGCGTGGTCAGCTTACCCCTCTTCTTACAGACGCTTGCGGTGACATTTGAGGTGGAGGTGGTGGTGGCGCCAGATGTATTCGACTAGTAGGGACTGGGGAATGGTCGTTATATGAATACCGTGACATCGAGTTGCGTGACGACGGTGCACATGACACCATGGAACAAGGACGGTAGGGCGTGGTTCCCATGACGTCATCTATGTCCAATTGAGCTCGGCTTTTGATCCTTCGGCCCTTTAACTTACTCAAGACGATCTTTTGACTGTGCATGAGAACAGCTATGTACTCAAGTAAAGTACCAAACACGAAGATGAACGAGACAATGAGATACGAGTCGATAGCTTTGATGTACGACACCTATCGATAGATAACACATATAGATACGATAACTTAGACGATGAGATACGAGTCGATAGCTTTGATGTACGACACCTATCGACAGATAACACATATAGATACGATAACTTAGACGATGAGATACGAGTCGATAGCCTTGATGTACGACACCTATCGACAGATAACAAATATAGTTCAAAGGATGCCAAAACTTAATGATGACAGCCACCCCACGTAGACTGTTTGCGTACTACTGACAGCCTTATTGACTAAACTGAGACAAGAGTCGACACGCTTTCATACAGGACACCAATCGCGCGAGTCGTTTCTTTAAGTATTTACATTAGATAAGTTCATAAATATTGATTTAATGATATTATGATGTATACCTTAGGTACCGTGTTTCTTAATGACCCCATCAGCGTCACAATGGTAAGAACAGTGGTAATACCCAGTGCCACGCGGGCAGGAACAGCGTCCTTGGAGATCCAAAATGATAACCATGACAACACCACGATAAGGAATGTCGGTGAGTAGATTTGAATGAACGAGTAAGCGAGTCTTCTTCGAAATACAAACTTGGCSACCAAATGAGTATAGGTACCTATGATTAGCACCTTGTTACGGTCACAATCTTAAATTATGGGATATCCAGGGGGCAAAATGAAACCTTGTTATATGACATGATTCCAAGAAAATTCTCTTAAATATGTGAAGCCTTTTACGTCTCCYAAACCCAAAACCGAACAACCATCATATCCTAGTCTACTTACCAATAACATATTTGACTTGTTTGCGTTCACCTCTATAATCAGAAAGTTCGAACTCGGACATCTCAGGATCGAGGACTATCACATCTACTTTTGGTTTCCAGAAATAATCTATGTTGTTCACATCAAACGAATCTAGAAAGACATTAAGATATCATTCATAAGTTACCCTCTAGTCTGTGTTTTAGTCTTATTATTTCATTGAAGTCATATTCAGGTTTTTGGACCTCAGTTCCTTTAATGATGATTTTGTTACGAACAAGTTAATTGTAGCATCTCTTATAGCTGYTCATCAAAGACGAAATAGTTAATCGATGTATACTCACAGCTTAGTATTTCCAGTACGCATGTCTGTGTGTCAAGAGGATACTGTCTAAGGTCCATGCGACATGATGCTGTTATAGTAAGTCTAGAAAACAAGATTACAGAACTGTCGAATGCTTATTTATTCATTAACGTACAATCACTTTCGTAAATGATTATTTCACAGTTTTCTTGGCTTCATTGATTCTTTTTCAAATCAATAGTTGCATGTTGTTCTTTTAAAGGTGCGATTTCCGACTTGAATATTAAAACGACTAAGAAGTTTTTAAAGCTTGTTTTGGTGGAATATCAGGCGTTTTCTTACCTTTCACTGAGTTCGATATTACCATTTGGTTCGATAACTACTCTTACATTAGAAGCTGGTACTTCGTGAAACTTGGCTGTTTTCACATTCAGTATAAACGTATCAGGAATCCATATCTTYTGCTTGACATCCCCAGGWAGRATCAGTGGGTACCCTATACCATGCTTTAACCGTGGATCACTCCAAGCTTGCTTGAAAAATACATCTAGGGAGAATTCCTGGAAAAATGACAATAAATTAAGTCCAGATTAGACACACATCTACTACGGGATTCCTGTGTTAGCATCTATGGGGGTCATACATAGAATAAGTCAAAGTTTTTTTCGTTACATCTCACCATATCTTTTTCTCTGACACTACTGATGGACACCACTGTGATATATACTGATATGTTTAATGGTCTGCCTAGAAATAATATAAAATACTAACAATTAATATATTATTACCGTTAAATGCGCCGGTCCGGGGGGGACTCCCTTATAAAAAAGGGCGGGTGGTCCTCGTCGGAAATTCTGAAAATGACCCCTAAAACTAAGGGAGGGACCWCTATTGTAAGATGATGGGCGTGGCAGTGCTGAAATTTCACCCCTAAGGGGACCAATCAATAAACGGTTATCTTGTTTTGGTTTCCCGATTTTATTAGTGTGTTTTTGCACAAGCACCAAACGCCGTTGGCTCGTATTGAGTTTATGACGACGTTGTCATATACACGAATATATGATGACGGTTTAGGGTTGTCGTATACCCTAAAAGGGACCACAAAATTCTGTTGGTGGGAATTCTTGTCATTATCACCCTAAGCGRGTCCAAAACACTGATTTCAAACCCTAAAAGGGACGACGAGGACCCCGCCCTTTTATATTAAGGAATCCCATCCCCCGGTCMTGTACTTACCACCAAAATATGGTCGCAATCGATTATCATATCCAATTAATAAGTTGTTGATAGCATTGGTGATGTTAATTGGTTCGTATTTCTTCTCTCTGTTACATAAAATAGTAATGAGGTTGTGGGTTGGTCTATAGGTCTGTGCCACACTTTTGGATATCACGTGGTATCTCATTGATTTTTACACTGTTGGTGTAAGTAAATTGTCGCGTCTTGAGTCCAACATGCAAGCAATGTGTGTGTCGTGTCTAGTAGTACGTGAGAGACTATTTGTATTCACTAAGTTACAAGACTATCTTGCTAAAAAAAGATAAAAAAGAAAGACATACTTTGGTTTGRTTGTTGCAAGATACACTGTGCCGGTGGAGAGAAGTATCAGCAGCAGTCGCCCGTACATCCTGATTGGCCTTTAACAAATCTAAGCAAATTACAAATAAGAATTAAGATTTGCAAACTTTAAGATCTAATTGTTTGTTCCTTCCTGTAAAAAACCCAAGACAGAATACCCATCGTTAACAAGTACTATTTCTTGCTGGACGATCTGAAAGTATATATCAACTGGTCTTACCTGTATAACATACGAAACAGCAGAAACGTCGAAGAGAGAAGGATGTTTAGTGAGTGTGCATCATCTCTAGAATTCCATTGGACCAAAAACTGTGAACAAACCTTGTTTTCAACACATCAATCAATGTTTTTTTGAAATGTCTTGTTGTATTCAAGGTGTTATTGACAAGAGCGCACGATACGTAGTAGTGTTAATAGCGTGCCATATAAACTAATAATCAAAATAATAAATGAATTATGTCGTGTTGATTGATCTGATTACAGAAATAGGAAAAATTTYATATTCATTTCTTTTTATAACTGTTTCAAGAAATACTGATTACTTAACGTACTTTTGACTGTCTACTACCTAACCCTAACCTTTTCTGTCTACCTTAACAAAGAATTTGACTGATAATTGGTGTGTTATCCTGGACCCTGTGTTTTGTATATGACAAATAATATCATTGAATGTATGGCAATTGTTAATTCAACTTTTTCAGAACTCAAACAATAATTTGAAAGATAATATAACTCGTACTGCACAGTGGCGTCCTTGAAGTAATATCAGTGTGTATATGTTGAAAACAAGAGAATAATTATAATAATAATAGAAATTGGACGATACTATCGAAACGAGTGGTTCTTGATTTGATGTTTTTATTCAAAGAGCCAACGGAGGCAGTTCCTTTTGATAGAAATAATACGTTTGAAAAGACATAAACAACTGTTATAAAAACCTGTTGTGTATGGACTTCAGTATTTGAGTAAAAAAACATACATATAGGAGATTGTTATTCGTTTCAAAGACTTGTGCATTGTTTTTCTTGTGTATTATCATCCTTATCTTCTATCCTACACCGCTAATGATACTATCCATCACAAATCCTCCATGATTTAGGGTACCTAAGCCATCAATAATAATACCATGCATAACTACAAACTCTGGAGTTCTCTCGGACTTAMAAGTGTTATGGTACTGAACCTAATGTCAATGATAAAATGAATATGTGAAGACCTTACCATGTATTTTCTATTATACYTAATCTATTATGTTGTTTAAAGGTATTTATGCTTTTCACAAAGTTCTTACCTTTTAAAGGTTTTTCTGGTACAAAAAACTGTTTTGTATGCATAAAAACGATACATGCCTAGATATACATTCGTTGAATCTTACCTTAGTGTACTCTCAATTTAATTTCAAATAGTGTTTTTTTGTACATTCCTCTATGTTAGTTTCTTGTTCAAGTTCTATTAATATTTAATTGCGAGCAGTTATTCCAGTGTTTGTGGTTTTCTGTTGTGACAATGGTGGTGTAAGGACACCAAGAATCTCTCCTCTGATTGGTCACAATATAAGATGGTTTTATGACGTCACAAGAAGGACGCTGTGCGMAATTGATGCTAATTCTTGAATACTTTGAAGCTTGCACAGCCCTAAGACTAAATAAATAACAGATTGGTATTAAGTCGAGGTTGAGCTATGAGTTGACCTTTATCTAAAAAAAAACTATTCGATCAAAACAAAATAAGCGTACTAGCACAACACTGATCACACATGACACCGCAGAGGAGAAATGTAATTGGACAAATTATATGTAACTATCTTACAACGGATTGCAAATGAATCGCCATCATATTTGTGGTTCGTATTATCGTTAAATCATTTTTTTTTTTTTTTTTTTTTTTTTTTGCATGTTGATATCATCAACATCATTGGAATATTCATTTTATTATTATCTTATTTTCTAAGAAAGGTATTATTTAGTATTCTACTTAGTTTAATTGGTATTTCGGTACATCTTTAATTGTAACATTTGGAGCTKGTACGTAAAACATCTTGAGCATCGATGTTACTATTGTTTTTTAKCTTGTTTTGCTGAATCGCGATAATCGAGGTAGATTACTGGATTTCCTGTTTCAGTACGACATGATAATGCATGCTTCTCTTTCTAATGCATATTGCCTCCAGTCATCCTCAGAGATGTCTGTCTATACACTTCAATTAAGTTTTTAACTTTTGTTTTCCTCTCAGACATATTGTCGGTTAAATTGTATACAAATGGAAAAGGTAAAAATTCCTCATCTTGTGGATGCATTTGTACAGTTCCATTAAATACACTATCAAATTGATGATATATAACGTGTTATCTAAGCCTTACAGTCAGGAACCGCCGGTAGCGAAAGTTTAAACGTAGCAATCTGAAAATAAGTACTTATATTTTTACCTGCTATTAAGGTCTTCTATATTGTTGCGACCTGCAGCTAATTACGTCTATAATTTCTAGAATAGTAAAATGCATACATTCGCTGATAAAATGAAACCTTATTCAAAGGCACTTGGCCACTTGTTTAAACAAATTTGCATAAGAAACATCGGAAAATAAGTGGCTCTATCAAAAAAGATCTGTTCTTGAGTCAAAAACATTGTTTTGACTTGAAGGTTTGACAGCTTTGTAGTGGATCCATGAGAAGTTTGACTAGACTTGTACATTGTTGTATACATATTGAACTGTTTGTCAGGTGCGAGTAGATAGTAGAGGGCATATCTTTACTTATCCTTGAGTGTTGTCCTTCAAAACAGTCTCTACTTATAAATAGATAGAACATTGACTACGAGTCTAGAGATTATGCTCGTTTCCAGTCCATTTTGATCCCCCATTATTATTCTGGCAATGGTAGAGAGCAATCATTCTACTTCGTTGTCAGCGAACTATTTTACCGACACAGTGAATGCACCATTTTACTTGACAGACACAGATTTGTGTGAAGAACTTTGTAGTCATATAATTTGTGTTTTAATACACGAGTAGGGCTCATACTGAATGTCGGACAACTTGAAAATAAGGTATTTAATATCATGGTTGAATTTAGTACTGCGAAAATTTTAATTTATTTTGATTTTATTTTTTTTTATATTAAAATATAGATGACCTTCCTTAAAATCTTGTAAATTTGGCCTATAGGGCCGGGCTATATAGGGTTATACTTCAGCACTAACCAAATTTACTGCACAACCTCGAATTGCTACCTTTATTTCACTTCCTTCATTTCGATATATTTTTGCAATCGCCTGTTTTTCCCTTTTGTTCTCGGCTTTCCWTTGTTCTAAATTCATTGTTGCCTTTGCATTTTAGATGGTAATTTGTTTCTGGAAAGACAACATTAGTATTTATAGTTTAATTATAATAGTTATTTACACGACTTGCCAAGTGCTTTGAGTAGATTTTGATATACATTATACATTACATCAGGTGACATTATTGATAGACTTAAGGACCAACCTCTTTTCGAGACGCTTTCTCATGTAAAGTGCTTTATATTTACCGTCGATGGGCTAATGAAAACACAGTCATCTTAACATCATCTCGTGGTATTCGTAAATTAAGTCAAGGCGGACAGCAAACATCCCTTCTCATTCTTCGGTGTTAAAGAAAATTCATTTGATCGCACAAAGTGACAGGAATGTGATACGTACGGAGAAAGTTAGAGAGCAGCTGAGCTTTTACCTCGACTTTGTTTATAGGTGACTTAAAAAGATGCTTTGCAAGTAGCACAAGTCAAAGATGATGAAGATGCAGCTTTCTGTTGGTAAGCATTTGAAATCTTGGCTGTGTAATGAGTACTTTTATTGTGGCAAAATATGATAACAAAGTCAGAGGCAAGTTCCTTCACTTTAACGATTAGCGTGTTCTTCGTGAAGACTTTCAGCTTATTCTCTCTTCCTGTTTTTTCTTATTGAAGCGTAAACAGCATCCGATCGGTTCCACTTGACATTTTTCTACGRTAGTACTTTACTAATCCTTGTGCTCTATGGCTCGAGAGGACGACACTTTGCAGCTTATTTAGTCCTTTCAAAGCGCCGATGATTACTACAGTCATCTATGAAGAAATAATTGCGATCCGCCTGACTTCAATTTGATCACTTAGTGAACGCGTATAGTTTTGAATCATGTGATGTAGTTGAAGATTTTGCCGCCACAATCGTCACCATCGAGTCTTCACGACTAACTGGAGAAAGTTTTTTAAATGCATTCATGACATGTAGTATGTTCAATTTCCTGTGGTAAGCGTGTCAGTACGTACCGSTGCCTCTGACACCTCTCACTACGACTATAGCAGGATACTTGAGATTTCACAATGCATCAACATGTATGTATATACTCTATAACGCTGAAGCGACTGAATTGAACCGGCAAGTCGAATACATTCCAAAAACCGGACACGTGTATTAATGTAAAGCAATACTGGAACCAGTATTATAACATAATTTACTATGCCACAAGTAGGAAGATCTTAATGAGATTTCTGAAAATAAAAGCCTTTGAAGGCTAAGTAGGTAAAACGCCAGACTAGCCGGTTCTTTGGCGCAATAACAACCCACAAGGTTTCCACAGGCTGACAGATTGATGTGTAGGATTTGTACCAGCAAATAGTTAAAAATAGAGGAAAGAAAGACATGAATACAAGCAAAATAAATAAAAAAATACAGTAACCTGCACAATAGTTATAGCAAAAACACGTATGGTAAGAAAGAAAATATTTAATTTTTCTATTATACACGCCTCTCACTGCAGCCTGACCTTTGCAAAAGGCAATCAATTTTATAAGTAATGGAATTTTTAGTAGATGATATGAATCATTGATAAACCACCAGATTATAAAGTGCTTTACTGTGTGTTATACGTTTGAGTTTTTAATATATAAAAAAGGGGWAAAAAAGAAAAGTGCTCGCTTCACTCTCGACAAATCAGAGTGGTAAATGAGTTGTTTAATCACTGTTTTAATCATCATTAAATGCCGTATATTTTTTTGTCACAGTGCTGGTACATTTATTGGTTATAATCACTGGAAGTCCTTCCACCACCCCACAGGATCAACTACAGTTTCAAGGTAAATGGCGAAATACTGTATACAATATTTATCAATCTTAWACTGATGCATGATGGTATCTAATTCGAACCTTCAAGAATTCRTGGCGCAAAGCACTTTTGGGAGACTTTCTCTAGTAGACACTATTCATATCAATTCTTGTAAACGATTCTTCCTCACACTGAGCTCATAGTTGTGATGATAAAAAGGTTCCAACGCCCATAAAGCATTGATGTGAGTTGATACATTATTAATATTAGCCAGGCTGTGATAAATATATCTTCTCTGATAAATCGTTTATCACTACTGAATCAGCTGGTACGGCTTGGTGGGGTTCTTATGATAAGTCATTTTAGTTTGGTGTCGATTTTTTAGCTATTATCTCATAGATCCKACTAAAGATCATACGTCTCTTATTCATTGTGAGAAGGTCGACTATGAATTATAATTGGACTTGATGCAAAAGGAAAAAAAACTAGTTGTTGACAAATTTACATTTGGATGATAGTAATGAAAGAGGCGATAACTTGTTTTGATGGAGAGATGTATGAATAAGCAGGATTGCCCACTAAGCGATAAAAAAAGAACTAAATGAAAAGAACACATAACGTTACTGCTCAAACCAATATTCAATCCAATTGTCAATACATCCCTAGGCCTTACTCTAAATCAAATAGMAAATTCAATATCTCTTTCACCGAGTCAACGTTCAATAAAACCAGACTATGCGTRTGGTATAACGTTATTGGCATACATATCTATTATGTCTGGAATGATAAAAGGAGTTAAAAGCAAAGGATTTTCTATGATATAATCATATTCGTTTAGTCTTCACTTAGACTTTAAGCCGATCAGCTTTTAAATCAATCAAGTTTAGCCGTTAACTGTTTTACATGCATAGAATATATGCATGACTCATTTGAACACTTCACGGAGAGTACAGCTTGGTCTCCTGGTCATTACTAATCCTRTTGCCATGAAAACCTTTCTGTGTATTTACTGTATGTTAACCTTTATACCTTGTAATTCATCACGTGCACCTGTAAAAAGTAAGTACGGATTGTTGTGTGAAAAAATCGACTTACGGTCAGCGGTTGAACAAAGTAAAAGACATGGCGGACATAAACTGTCGAAAATGTTTTTGAACTGAACATGAAAACGATATCATAGAGTAGACTCTAGGGTTAGGGTTAGAGTAGACTGAAGCATTTTAGTATCCGTCGCGAGCGAGGACTGTAATCAGCCAATCAGCGCGCGAATCATCGTATTACATATAAGATGATTTAAACAATCCATTTACGTTGGAATGGACTGTGTTAATATACGCTTTACTAAGCAGGTGCTACAAACCAAGGTCAACATGCACATCATTTACGAGAGAACCATTTTTCTACAATATACTAGAATGATGGACGCATTCAGATTCAAGTCTTTTTACTCCAAATTTTAAATTTCAAAAGAACGTCCAAACCAAACTAASGTAGTTCGTATTATATAAGGACGTCATAATGTCGAAGTTTTTTTTACAAGTCCTGAAGCAGTTTATAAGAGAGAAGTATATAATTAAAAGGTTGAACCACAAAAAATGATCRAAATGAATTTCCTCAAGTGAAAGACATATACCTTGATGATACCGCGCCAAAGTGTCGAACCCGCGATAAATAGCAAAAGGGTGTGTAATTAGCTTTTGGTTTTTGAGTATCTATATTGAATAA